GAATAAATACTCTGTGGGCTGTTTGAGGATGATGTTTTGCCCAAAAGCAGCTGGAATTGTGCCTGAATTTCCTATTCCTCCTTTCAGATCTGGCCGAGGCAGCCCCGGGCAGCAGCGAGCAGCCCCCGGCCGATCTCCCGGGGCAGATCCAGGCTCTGGCAGCCCAGCTGAGCTCAGAGGATCTCCATTCCTACTCTGGGCAGCAGCTTTTCCAGATGCAGGAGCACTTGGCCACCATGGCCTCGTGCATCCTGCGCAATCTGCAGTCACGTTGGCTCTCCCCACCCCATCCGGGCCCGGAGTAGCTGCTACTCACAACTCCGTAAGGACCATGTGCTTACAACACCTTTCCTCCCACTTGTTTGCCTTCCTGCTGATTTACTCCTTAAACTCTGCATTTTGTGGTTTTTTAACACCTACATAAATTTATTGTGGGTTTTTTTTTCCCCTTTTTATTTTTTTGTTGTTGGTTGTTTTTTTCCCCTGAATTTGTGGACTGTTTCCTCCCTGGCAGAGGTGTTTCTATTGGATTGCTATGCATCTTTCTTTCAGGCAAGTGAAAGAAAAAACCTGACAAAGCTGTGCAATAGCAAAGACTGTGAAAACCAAACCAACAGAGTAATTAAATTATTTTCTTCACATCCAAAGTGTTCTTACTGCTGCAAAGTCTTGCTGTGGGGTAAGAGCTGGAGCTGGCAGCTCTGCTCCTCTCCTGCTGAAACTCTTGCAGCACATGGGAGGTAAGCTGGGCTGCATTCCTTACAGCAGGAATCTGGGATTTGTACTGGATTTATTTTTCCACGTATTTTTGTATGTCTCACCCTAAGGAGTGCTGAGGATTGTGTTTGTACAGGAGCAAAGCTCTGCAGAGCCTCCCAGGCTTTGGCCCATGGCCTTTGCTGGCAGCAATTCTCCTTTTGGGAAGGCTTTTCCATGGGGAAAGGGATGGATTGGACAAGAGCTCTTTGTATATTGTGTACAGACTCACAGCAGATGTTGGGTAATAATTTATGGAGTTGGAATTGCATGGAGTGCATTGCTGCTTCTTGGAGACCTTCAGCCGGAATTGCCAGGTTTTTCTCTGGAATTCTGATCTGTATATATTGTACTGTAGCTATCCAGATGGATCTTTATTGAAAGGAACTGCTGCAGGTGGTTTTAGAACTTTTACATGGGCAAATAAAAGAGCAAAATAGTTCCCAAATGTGGTCGTGGCCTCGTGCTTCCGTGGATTTGGGATTTCTCTCTCTTCAGCTTCCCTTCAAATTTGGATTCCCAAGGGAAGGACCTTGGGATGTCTCCAGTGCTGTTGTAAGGTAGGAGCAGGTCCTTGAGGACAGGGTCTGCAAAACTCTGAATATTCTTTATGGTGTTTGTGGGGCCTGGAGCTGCAGCAGGAACCGTTCTCTGAGGGTTTTCCTGCTTTCCTGAAAATGTTCTTTGGGTTCCAAATCTGCCTCAGGAGGAGCTGCTCAGGTAAGGATGTTCTGCCACAGGGAAAGGCTGTCAATCCCAACCCCCAGTGCTGCCAGTCCTAAACCTGCCTTGGGAAGGACGTGGCCCTTCCAGGCTGGAATTCCCTCTGAACTCAGGAATTCCTCAGGAAGATGGTACAACTCCTGCTCTTGGTTCAGGCTTCTCTTACACACAGCACAGTGATTTTTATTCTCTTTTTTCCTGGGCAGTGGCTGCCACCAGGTGCTGCAGTAGATGAAGCAAAAAATGCTGTGTTCAGATGTGAAATGACCTATCCAGACCTGGCTCCTTCCCACTTCCTTCCAGTTTGTGGGATCAGTTCCCTTTTCCAGCCCCAGTGACGCCATCCAGACTGCAGAAACCTCAGCTTTATTCATCACTAATTTACAAGAAATCACAGCTTTTGCCCCCAGAACAGTGGCAGGAGAACACATCCATGGGAGCTCGGCAAGCAGGAGGAGAGGGGGCGTTGCTTTTCCCTCCCCAGATAAAATTGGTTTGAAATACAAAGCTTAAACATGTCTTACATGGAAAAGGAAGGGGAGAGATCCAAACATTTTAGAATAGCCCAGAAAAATGAATGAACAAAGTAACGTGTGTGTTCATCTTTAGTAACAGAATATTGGAGATTCCCCATCGTGCAGGTGATGAAATTCCAGGCATTTGGGAGGTTTTGGCATGGGGATAAAGGCAGGATGTGCTTTTCAAACCTGAACATGGTGATTTCTGGGCTGTTGCAGTGGATTTGGCTCTGCAGTTGTTGTGTTGAGGCTGAGGGGTGGCAGCAGGGAGGGGGCTCACACGGCCTCCACGTAGTTGGCCGGCAGCATTCCCGTCTTGCCCGTCCTCTGCACCGTCCCGTACATCCAGCCCTCGTCGATGGCCTGCACGTTGACAATGGTGTCCCCGTCCTTGAAGGACACCTCGTCTGCATCTGCTGCTGTGTAGTCGTACATGGCCCGGAAGGTCTTCTGTGGGGACAGAGGGGACAGGGGGGACATGGTCACAGCCTGACAGGGGACAGGGGGGACATGGTCACAGGGTGACGGGGAGGGCATGGTCACAGCCTGACAGGAGGGACATGGTCACACCATGACAGGGGACAGAGGGGACAGGGGGCACATGGTCACAGCCTGATGGGACACCAAGGGACATGGTCACAGCCTGACAGGGGACAGCGGGGACAGGGGGACATGGTCACAGCCTGACAGAGGGGATAGGGGCGACGTGGTCCCAGGGTGACAGGGGACAGAAGGGACATGGTCACAGGCTGATGGGACACCAAGGGACATGGTCACACCCTGACGGGACAGAGGGAACATGGTCACACCTGACAGGGGGGACATGGTCACACCATGACAGGGGACAGAGGGGACATGGTCATAGGGTGACAGAGGGACATGATCACAGCCTGATGGGACACCAAGGGACATGGTGACACCTTGACAGGAGGGGCATGGTCATAGCCTGACACGGGACAGAGGGGACCTGGTCACAGCCTGACAGGGGACAGAGGGTACATGACCACATCCTGATGGGACACCAAGGGATATGGTCACACCCTGGCAGGGGACAGGAGGGACATGGCCACATCCTGGCAGGAGATAGAAGGGACATGGTCACACCCTCATAGGGAACACCAAGGGACATGGTCACACCTTGACAGAGGGGACATGGTCACACCCTGACAGGGCGTACCAAGGGACATGGTCACATCTGACAAGGGACAGGAGGGACATGATCACATCCTGGCAGGAGACAGAAGGGACATGATCACAGCCTGACACAGGACACCAAGGGATATGGTCACATCTGACAGGGCACACCAAGGGACATGGTCACATCTGACAGGGGACACCAAGGGACATGGTCTAACAATGACGGGACAGAAGGGACCTGCTCAAACCCTGACATGTCCCAGAACATCTGCAGGGACACAGGACAGAAGGGACATGGTCAAACCCCCATAGCCAGGGTTGGGAATTGGTGTCACAGGGCTCAGAATTGGTGGTCTGGCTCTGTTAACTCTCCTGGCTGTGGCTTCTCCCTCCCTGAGCACCTTTGGTCCCCTGGGTGCCACAGCCCCTGGCTGAGCCATTGTCCCCAGGGCTCTAGCTGTCACTGCTGTTGTCACCTCGCAGTGATTTTTGGAGGTGATGCCATTCCCACCATCCTGTACCTACTCCAGAGTCAGTCTCTGAGCACTTCTTCCCAATCCCAAATTTTCCAGTGTTAGGCACGGGAAGGGCTCATTCACAGTTTCCAAGTGCAAATTCCGAGTTTCCAAGCTCAAGGAAGGATGTGTCCCCTTCCATCCTCCTGGTGTCCCCCAGAGGGTTGAAATGTCACCCCCTCAGCCTTCATTAACACTGTTAATTAATGTGTCCCACAGCTCCCCAGAGTCCCAGGGTTACTCACCCCAGCAGTGGAGGGGTGGGATGGCACCGAGGACACCGTGGTTTGCTGGGTGGCCACCGAGGACGAGCGCTGCTGTGGCAACTCGATGGTCTTCACCTGCTTGTAGCCCACTGCAGAGGGAGGAGAGCGTGGTTGGGGTTATTATGGGATTGTGGGGTAAAGATCAGGAGCAGTTTAAAATGCAGATTAACAGCTGCTGCTCGTGCACAACCCAACATTTTGGAGACGTGGCTTCTCCTGGCTCTGGGAGGTGCTGAACAGCATCTTGTGGCCAGCTGGGGTGTCCCCAGGRTGTCCCTGTCCCCTACCTGTGGCCGTGGCAGTGAAGAAGCCCCCGTTGCTGTAGTAGGACAGGCGTTGGTCGGTGCCATCCGACGGCTCCGATTTCTCGTCGGCGGCGCCGCTGATGCTCAGAGCGCTGGCAGAACGTGAGTGCTCCCTGCTGCGGCGCTGGGCCTGGACTGTGGGGACAGAGGGGACAATGGGGACACTCAGCACCCTGGGGATCACACTCAGCACCCTGGGGCTCACAGACCCTGCACTCCAAAGCTCACAGAACCCAGCCCCGCTCAGCTCCGTTTTTTCCACAATCGCAGTCTAATTTTATGATTCCATGGACACCACACTGAGGTTTTACTCTCCAATTTTCACAGTGTTTTTATCCTTTCTCTTTTAATCCTTTCTCAGCCTCTTTCCCTTAGTCCTGGCTGCTTCCAATGTTTTTTTTTTTTTTTTCTAATTATCCCATGCTTTCCTTCCTGACACAGCTCTGAGCCATCCGCAGGATTTTCTGCCATCCAGGTATTTTTCTTCTCAAACAGGAATTAATAAAATCTCAATGGGAACAGCCTGTGTAGTTTCAGAAGGAAGCACAGGTTGTGTCATGGCATCAGTGGATAAACAAATAACCCTCCTCCTGCTCGTGTTGGGTCATTTTATCACAATAAGATAATAATGGAGTTTTTAATATCAGTTCAGCTGGTGAGGAGCAGCCACAGCCAATTTCTCTCAGTCCCTGTGTCCCTTGTGACCTCTCAGCTGTTTTTGGCACCCAACCCCACCTCTGCAGAGCTGAAATCCCATTTTCCCCCATGGGACACACCTGAGATCATGTGCAGGCTCCGGGACTGGATGTTATCCTCAGCGGGGTCGTAGTCGAAGACGGAGCCGGGGTTGGTTCTCCAGACCCGGAGCCCTGCAGGACAAATGGATATTCCTGAGAAAAGTCTGGGCTGGAACAGCTCTGGGAGTGTCCAAAGCTGGGCTGGAACAGCTCTGGGAGTGTCCAAAGCTGGGCTGGAACAGCTCTGGGAGTGTCCAAAGCTGGGCTGGACAGGGTTTGGAGCACCCTGGGACACTGGGAGATGTTCCTACCCATGGCTTTAAGGCTGGGCTTTAAGATCCCTCCACCCCAAACCAGCCTGGGATTCTTTGAAAAATCACCCACATTTTATCAATTATTATTTCTCAACTCTACAGCACAGATTTGGCTTTTTTACAATTCATCTGCAGCAGGAATTCCCCAATACAACAGAAACGAAGTTAAAAACAGCAGTAAGAACTATAAATTCAGTGTGACTTTATAAAGGCGAGGACAGCAGGTGACAGGGAACTCACAGCTGCCATGAGTGAATATTTTCACAAAGGATTTGGATGGAAACATCTCCAAGGGATGATGGATGGAAACATCCAAAGGATTTTTTTCACAAAGGACGTGGATGGAAACACCTCCAAGGGATGATGGATGGAAACATCCAAAGGATTTTTTTCACAAAGGACTTGGATGGAAATACCTCCAAGGGATGATGGATGGAAACATCCAAAGGACTTGGATGGAAACATCTCCAAGGGATGATGGTTGGAAATATCCAAAGGCTTTTTTTCACAAAGGACTTGGATGGAAATATCTCCATTTGGAATTGATGTGGCTGAGCTCGAGTGAAACCCCTCCCCACTCTGCCCATGGAAATGCTGTCCCAGGTGTCCCTAAGCCTCACCTGTGAGGTTCTCCTGGTCCTGGTCCACACGTTTCCTCTCCATCTCCACCACCCTCCTCTGGATGCCCCTGTAGCTGATGTCACTGAAGTCCTGCATGTTCTTCTTGACGCGCTCCGTGATGGGGTCGGTGACCACGGGGGTGAAGCTCCCTTTGCTCTTCTCAAAGTCCTCGTGGTACTTCACCTGTAATTCCAAAAGATTGTCATTCCTGCCCCAGACTCTTGCTGTGTTCTCCACAGTAGGACTCGATGATCCTGAGGTGTTTTCCAACCTTGGTGATTTGGGATTGCTGAGGATAAAACACCACAGGGGTTCAGTGCCCTCCTGCTTTTCTCCAAAGTGCACAGTTTAGGGAGGAATGATGGAATGCTGGGCTGTCCACTTCCATCCTGGGGCTAATAAATTCATATTTTTATCTCTCTATCTTTATTGATCAGGAACAACACATCAACAACAAAAGCAGGAGACATTTCGATGATGGTTAAAAATTGCAATTTGAACTTTGCCTTTCCCAGTCCTGAGAGAGCCTAATCCCAAACTCTAGGATAACCAAAGCTGGCTGGACACGTTTTCCTGGGGTTATTTTTGTATTTAACCCCATTCCCAGGCCCAGGACACCTCAGGGAGTGCTCTTACAGTGGAGATGTGTTTCTGGGTCTCCCTCACACGCCGCATCTCCGGGGTGTCCAGCACGTAGGCAGCTTTTCCTTGCACTTGCTTCCGAAAACTGTCAGAATAAAGAACCTGCAGGGGGACAGGGAAAACGGGATTTATCTCTGGAGCACCAGGATGGCAAAGGGGGCCTGGCCCAGATTTTTAGGGAGCATTTTTTATGATATTTTTTATATTTTTATAGCATTTTATAAGACTTTATAACACGTTCAATAACATTTGTTATAGCTTTTTAAAATAACATTTCATAACATTTTCTATAACATCCTATAACATTCTATAACAGTTTTTACAACACTTTCATAACTTTTTAAAATAGTATTTTACAACATTTTTTGCATTTTTAGAACTTTTTGAAGTAACATTTTATAACATTTTTATAACATTTTTTATGACTTTTTAAAGTAACATTTTAACATTTTTTACGAGACTGTTTATAAAGAACCATAATTTTATATATCCCACAGCATTAAGGTAGTAATTGGAAATTTAACTGTTTAAAAGCCCCCGAATTAACACAGTTCATCACAGAAATAATTGATTGCACCAGCAAGCATTAAAGAATTCTTTCTGGTTTTTTCATCCTTTCAAACCTCTCCTATCTGAGCGGGGATTTTAGGGATGAAATGTGGTTTTCCCGTGGTTTTCCTGCCCCACAGCACCCACCGAGCTGATGTTTTCCTGATTTCGTTTGGCTCTCTCCATCTCCGGGGTCAGCGGGGTCGGGGTTCCCTTGGCCATGTGTTCCTTGTACAGCACCTGCAGGGCACAAACACAGCTCGGATTGAAACAATTCCAGCTGTTTTTAGGAGTTATTGTTCAAGCAAAATCAGCCCTGCAGGGTGGAAAAAAATCCCGGGAAACAAAGCAGCTGCAACGTTATTGGCAAAAGGTAAAAAAAAAAATCAAAGGGATAAATAGGCAGAAACCAGGAAAACCAGGGAAATAAGGCTGAATTAGGTGGAGTTTGGCTCAGGATGGTTATTTTTGACACAAAGTGCTGGGCTGTGCTTTCAGTACCGAGCTGATTTGTTCCTGGTTCCGTTTGACTCTTTCCATCTCCGGAGTGATCGGGCTGGGAGTGGCTTTCCCTAAACCTTCCCTGTACGCAACCTACAGAGCACAAAGGAACTCGGTCACCGGGGCACAGCACAAAACCGGGCTCTTACTGGGTTTAGACTCAACATCAGCCATTAGGAAAGTAGGGGGAAAAAGTCAGGAAAAATAATATTAACGCAAAAAAAAAAA